ATAATAATATAATAATAGGTTGTTCGGATTTGAGGTTTGGGGCGGCTTAGGGAGTAGAGTTTCAGGGATTGAATGATAATGGCATCGACAGTGCCAACAGAAAATCCTAAACCCCAAAGCCCTTGTAAGTAATGCCCCTAATTTAGAAATCCCTATATTACCCCATGACCCCTAGACCCCGAAACCCAAGGCTGCAGCATCGCCTCATCCTTGTCCTCGGCCGCTTGAAGCTGCGCGCGTGCATCTTTGATCTTCTGACCCTGTGGCAGCACGATGGCGTTTAAGGGGTTCCGTAGGGGGACAAAGGGAACAAGGCAGGCCTGCTCTTCAAGATCGTTGGTCATTGCAGTCACGAGGTGTTCACCCCTGGGATCATGAATTCTGCAATTAACATCATCTGCAATATTTCTAAGTTGTGCTAGCTAGTGTGTAAGGATCTGACATTCCGGAAGGCTTCTCCTCCTTCCGAATCTTCGAGCTCGTCTTAACTTTCTCATTGGCTTTGCTGAGAACCTGCAGCATGAGGGGATTAGCCTGTATGTTGATGATCACCGAGTCTGATGTTGCATAAGCCTTCTTCACCAGAGCCCGACTTGCAGCAATCTTCTGTTGCTTTGCTTCTTCGTCAGCTGCAGCTTGCCCTTCTGCAGTGAGAGCCTGATCAACAGGGTTTGGGTTTGGATCAACAGGGTTTGGGTTTGGGATCAATGCTGTGCTTGTTTTATATGGCTCTGGTGATTTGGGTTTATATTGGGTTGTCTTCAAAAGTCGTCTGTGGCAATATATGGGTTCCATTATGTCGGAAGCATATATATATATATAATGGGCTGGGGCCAGTTGAGGCTTGTGATGTATGACATGGTGTCTAGTCTTAGTCATAAGGAAGGTCCAAGGGTTTAGGGGTTTAGGGGTTCAGGGTTTAGGGCTTATTAGGGTGTGTTTGTAAGTTACGAAAGAAGAAACCAACTTCATTCCACCCAGGTCTAATATATAGTGGGGTTTGAGTTATAAGGTCCAAGGGTTTAGGGGTTTAGGGGTTTATAAGGGTGTGTTTGTAAAGTCCGAAAGAAGCAACCAACTTCATTCCACCCTAGTTATGATGGGGTTTGAGTTGTAAGGGTTTATGGGGTTTAGGGCTTCAGGGTGTGTTTGTAAATTCCGACAGAAGCAACCAACTTCATTCCACCCTAGTTATAATGGGGTTTGAGTTGTAATTCCAAGGGATTAGGGGTTTTTAGGGTTTAGGGTTTAGGGTGTGTTTGTAAATTCCGACAGTAGAAACCAACTTCATTCCACCCTTGTTATAATGGGGTTTGAGTTGTAAGGTCCAAGGGTTTAGGGGTGTATAGGGTAAATAGGGTTTAAGGCGTGTTTGTAATTAATTAATTCTGAAAAAGAAACAAACTTCATTCCACCCCACCTGGTTAGCAGCAGCAGCCTTCGCCTTTGCTTTACCTTTGGCCTTCGCTTTCGGCTTCTTGGGTGAGGCCTTGTCCTGCTTCTTCTCTTTCTTCTGCTTCTTATCCTTCTTCTTTTTTTCTTCTTCTTCTTGTCATGATGCTCATGGCTCGTCGACGACGTGGAAGAGCTGTCCTCTTTGCCCTCAAAGAGCCGCTCCAGCTCCTCGGCCTCCACGTCCTCCGCTGTGTCGTCTGTCAAGACTAGGAACTGCTTGGACTCCTGGAGCAGGTATACAAAATATAAATTGATCATGATCAGAGGGCACATATGGCATCGACATGTTGCTATTGCAGACTGCAGTGGTCCTCTTTGTCTCGAGGAAGATCAGGATGAAACCTGACCTCAGCCTCCCTGCGATCTGGGTCAGCCAGCTTGGCTTCGATCATCATGTCGGCGACTGTCTGGCCCCACTTCTGAATCATATCGGCGCGGAAAAGCCAGGATCGCAGACCCCGACGGGTTGAGGAGTTCCGGTTGCGAAGCCGCACAACCAAAGTCGACTTGGCCCACGATTCAGACGACTGAAGCCATGATTCGAACAACACCGACCGCTCGCTGGAATCCGCATTCCTAGCCATTTTCTTTATCTCCTTCGGCGTGTGTGGACCTTGACCATACAACTATGTGTGCTTGCATGATGATCAGCATTCATGGTGTGACAGGAATGTTTATTAAATCCAAGCAGCTTTCCAGGCTTCGATAGAATCTCATGTTCCGGGCATGCAGCCTCTTCCGGCGTGCCTCCTTTGACTCTTTCATTTCAGCCTGCTCAGCAGGCTTGTCCTTCTCCTCTGCGGCTTCTCCTCCCTCAGCTGTCTTTTCTTCATCCTTGCAGCGAGCCTGTTTGGCCTTGTCGATTTGCTGGACCACAAGTTGCAAATCGTCTTCCGAAAGCTGGTCTATGGTATGGCCGCGCTTTAAGAGCCCCTGCAGCCTATCCATAGGAGCATTTTCAGAAGTCCCAGAATCATCGTAGCCGGCACTTCCCTGCTCCCACTTGTCCCACTTGCCCTGAGACCAAGCGGCATCAGAGCCCCACCACGACCAACTGTCCCAACCGTCCTTCCCCCACCAGTCCTGATCATAAGAGCTACCGCTGGCCCAGGACTGCGCTCGGTGCCACGATGAGCCGGACCATGAAGCCTGGAAGGGGGCTGGGCTTTGATACCGATTTGTGGGTCTTAGGGGTTATCCGGTAGGTATAAGTAGGTAAGTAGGTAGGTAGGTAGGTAGGTAGGTAGGTAGGTAGGTAGGTAGCTAGGTAGGTAGGTAGGTAGGTAGGTAGGTAGGTAAGTAGGTAGGTAGGTAAGTAGGCAGGTAAGGGTTTAGGGC